CTTGCAGCTGGTGGAGCTGAAAAACGGGGAGACGTACAACGGGCACCTGGTGAGCTGCGACAACTGGATGAACATCAACCTGCGGGAGGTCATCTGCACGTCCCGGGTAAGGCCGGACCCCCCTGTGCCGGAGTCACCTACCCTCCGTGTCCCCCGTGGGCCCTTGGGGAGCATCCTCGAGGGTGCCCAACCTCTGGCCTTGCAGCAGGGCCGGCTCTGCTACAGCTCAGAAGCCGTCACTCCTGTGGAAGTGTGACTTCTGCCTGAAATGCAAATTTAAGGTAGTCATTTATAATATCCGTAACAAAGGAACACACTTGCGTGCACGCTTGATGAAAGGGTGGCTTTCTGCACCACACAGAAACGCTGCACGAGCGTTTCCCCTGTGAGAGGGTTCTCAGTGTGGGGCTGGGGGCCACAGGTCGGGGCACAGTCACCCGTGCCGTGATGCCGAGCTGGGTTTCCCAAGAACGGAGCCGTCATCTGTCATGTGCTGTCCAAGAAGTGAGGTCTGCTTCAAACACTGCGCTAGCTTTTATTAACTTGCTCTTCTCTTGCTCTCTTAACTCTCCACATCAAAACGGAGAAGCCTGTTGTTTACCCGTGCCGAGGCTCTGCGCCGTCTGGTACTTTTGCCCTTGGCCAAAGGTGCTCCAGAAGATTGTGATCTGTGTTTTGGGCTTTGACCTCAGAAGTGTCTGGTCTTGTCCCTACCAGCCGCATGCTGTGGGAAGCGGCAGCCGGATGGATGTCGGCTGTTGCTGTTCTTTCCCTGCCTCGGAACGTCAGAGCTTTGTGGGAGAGCCTGGCAGAGATCCTCGTTCTTCTGAAAAATCTCTCTGCAAACCCCTGTACCTGTTGTCTTCACAACAGGAAAGCTTTGAGCAATATTGCTGGGGCACGGAGGCACGTTTTCATGTCGGTATGACAGAGTAAACATCTTGAGTGAGGTTTGCGAGGCACCTTTGGGGCAGAGCAGTGGCACTTAGAAATTTGTGGGCACGCTTTGGCTTCTGGCGGGATGAACGGGAAGGAACCGCTGTCGAATTTAGCAGGAGGGGGATTAAGAGGAGGTAACAAGACAGCAAAGCCTTGTCCGTGCCCGCAACACGGATGATGTTATCCTTCTTCTTGAGAAGTCACTTCCCACGGCTCAGTGCTCAGGTTTTATTCCTTCTGAGGGACCTAGAGGGATCCTGTCACACAGCAAAGCAGCCGGGCTTATCAGCTGTGCCTGTCCCCGCCTTAAAACATCAAAACGTTTCGAAAGCCGAGCTGGAGCCGCAGCCGGGGTTGTACTGGTGGCACTGGTGGGGCCTGGCCACTAGATGGCACGGGGCGGCGGCGGACGGGCAGCCCCGGTCCGGGGGGTGGTTGTTTACTCCGGGGAGGCCGGAACGAGGAAGCCTGGCTCCATCCCTTCCTGCATCCCGAGCCAAGGAGCAGCCAGGCAGATCCAAGGCAGGGTGGGGTTTTCTGGGTGTCTCTTGGAGGAGGACTGTTTCTCTCTGTCTTGTCTTGTACGCCAAGGACTTGCCTGTACAGGCAAGAGTTGCCCCAAATAACTCCTGGGGTGAGAGGCGGGGACTGACAATTTTATCCCAGGAGAGGAGGAACGAGGCGTTCTCGTTTAACCTACTCTTCTGGGACATGACAGACGCCTCGTCCACATGCTGCCGCTTGAGAATCGCCGGGCTCGAGTGATCCCATCTGCAGCCAAACCCTGACGGAGCCGCTGCCGCTGAGCTGGGGCTGCGGTGGTGGAGCGGGACAAGGCGGGTCTCCGTCCCTCCTCCCAGTTACATCATGGGCAGCTGAGTTGTTGTTCAGCTTCGACGCTTGGTTCCTATTCCCACAGCCGCCCTCGGTAGACGGGAGCTGAAGCCCTGCTAGGTTGCATCCTAGAAAAGCCCTGAAACTGCATTAAACAACTAGCGAACAAAATATAGACACGGCTGCTCCGTAACTGGGCACCTGAAGACTTTCTTTTTTCAGATCTATATAACCTGTAAGTTCCGTGTCTTCCACAGCTGCAGTTACTGTGCTCTGGTGGCATACACCCTGCAGCCAGCTGGCTCCAGACCTGCCTCCCTGCTCCATCCACACCCCAGAGGAGTGGAGTGAGGTGACTCCCAGCTGAGGCTGCTGGAGAAGAAACCCAGCCGTGCATACGCCTTTGCCGCAGCTGCATTTTTCTTGCCAGAGTTGGTTGTTTGTAGCCGTTGTGTGTAACTTACCCCCCTTGCCTCTCTAGTCCTGCTTTCGATTCCCTTTTTATATGAGAAGGGAAGGTTCTTGTTTCCTCAGCCTCTTCTTCCTTCATTTTCTGTGAGTGTTAGAGGCAGTGGTGGAACAAATTGAAACTACAGTTGCTCATGGCTGAGTGCCCTTCTCCCCCAGGTTGCATGTTTTGGAGGGGAAAAAAACCACCCTTTTTTTGCAGCTAGTTACAGATAATGCTTTCAGAAAAGATTGGTGGAGCAGTCAACGCTCTCCAGAAGTGATGGAAATATTCAAATGCCCCAAAAGTAACACCAAAGCACCCGGTTTTGTTCGTAGCCTAATGCGTTGCTCCCCAATAGGATGGAGACAAGTTCTGGAGAATGCCAGAGTGCTACATTCGTGGCAGCACAATTAAATACCTGCGTATCCCCGATGAAATAATTGACATGGTGAAAGAAGAGGTGGTGTCCAAGGGCAGAGGCCGTGGTGGGATGCAACAGCAGAAGCAACAGAAGGGCCGTGGTGTTGGAGGTGCTGGACGAGGTAATGATCCTGTTTGTTTTTCAGCTCGGAGAGGGGTGAGCGGGATCCCTGCCTTTAAATTTCACCTCTTGTGCAAGGAATGGCTCCTGCTTGCTCAGCTTTAAACCCGGGACTGTTTGTCTGGGAGAAGCTGGAGCCGCTCCTGTGCAAGATCTAGCTGAGCGAGCGTGTTGCCTCGCTTGTAAGGCAGCCTCTGCCAAAGAATAGAAAGGATTCGTGCCAGGGATGTGCCTCCCTCCTTACTGGGGTTGGGCAGGAGCTTAAGAGAGTCTGAACTTGACTGTTTTTACCCCTCCTGGCTAGTTTGGGAGCGTGGCCCTACAAAACTGGTGTCTGTTAGCTTAGCAAGTCTGGGAGAGAAACAAATGGCTATTCTTTTTGAAAATAGACTGGGCTCTGACCATGGCAGTGATAGAAAAACATCATCTTTTCTCCCTTTATAATGGGGGTTTTGATCTCCTCACTTGTTGATTTATTTATTTTAAAAAAATGTCTGAGTGTTTGTGTTCCTCCTGCTCGACATGAATAATTCATCTTTCTGATAAAAGAGGAGGTTGCCACTTATGAAGAAAATAGGTCACCAAAACAACTCTTCCTTCCCTGCCCCACTTCATGGGGTTGGGTGATCTCGGAGCACTTCAGCTTGGGGATACGTTGCTCTTTTCTCCCCAAACTGTCCTGCTGGGAGCCCGAGAGCCGTTTCTCTCCTTTCATACTCACCCCTCCTGCCACGTCTTTGTGATTCGCTTTGTGGTCACCTCGCTCAGCCCCAGGGCTGGCTCTCAGTACAGGCTTAGCCTGCAGTAGGAGCTTAAAATCTTGAGTGCGCTCACTTGCTACAACAAAACTGGGTTTGACCTGGGAAATCTTAGGTTTTAAAAGGAGCCCTGGGGACTGAGACAGCGATGGGTGAAGTCTGTCTGTGGAGCACCCTTAACGAGCTGCCTGCTTTTTTGGCTATGCGAGGAATCCTGGTAGGACGGCTGGGATCTACCCGGGGCCATGACGCCACGCTGGGACGCTGGACGTGCAGCGTCTCCGACTCCCAGGGGTTTTTTGGAGGGAAAAACCCCTGCGATTTCTGCTGCCTGTGCTACCTCCTGGTAGCTCTGAGCATGCAAAAGTGACCTTTACAAATCTGAAGGGCCCTTTATTTTTTCTCCTTCCCTTTTCAGTGTCGAAAGTACTTGGCATAACAGCTTTTTTTGATATAGTTATTTGGACAAACATTTTAGCTGAAATATTTTCTCTGCTGTGGAAATATCCACCTTGTGGAGAGCAGAGCTGAGCTCTGTTTGAGGTGGAGTTCCCTGCTGTTTTGATGTGCAGCTTAAATTCGCTGATGGAATATTTTAAAGGGAAGCTTCGGCATTTGCTAATTAGCTAAAAAGGTTTGGCTCTCATTACTGAGACATGAAGGGAGGAGAGGAAAAAAAAAAAAAGGCAGGACAATTTTGTTGGGAGGCCAGCAGGCAGAAGTAAAGCTATAATTGTGCACACAGTTGAAAGGATTATTGTTTCTGACACTGGTAATCCTTCGTCCTTTACTTCTCGGCTTGCCAAACTCAGAAGTACAGCAGTCTTTGCTCAGCTTCGCTGGGAGCAGCCGGAGCCCTGCGAGCATCCCAAGGACTGCAGGGTTAGCAACAATTTTTTTTTTTTTAGGCGCGTCTCCTCGATGAAGGAACCAGAGCAGAGGGCTTTGGAGAAGCTCTTCTGCCTGCTGCCCAGACTGGGTCTCCTTTGCTTCTGCCTCTTGTGCCGAGGTGGCTGGCAGGGTAGATCCACAGTCCCTTTATCGCTCGTGTGCCAAGATAAAAATTCCTGCCTGAAATTGCTTTCTTTTGGAATGAATCTGAGCAGGGAGGGGAGGGCTCAGCAGCTCCCATGGCAAAGGCGGTCGCAGCTCTCGGGTACGAGGATGCTCGTGTGTCTGCAGCGAGTCTCCTGGCAGACCCCGGTTCCTGCTGCCTCCCTGGCAGTGTGCTGTGCCCAGTGCCCTCTCTGGAGCGGTGGCTCGTTCTGTCCAGCAGTGAGGCTGTGACAGAGGGATGGGGTTTTTTTCTGTTTTGTAGCTGAGCCGTCTTCAAAACAAGTCGCCCTCTTCGTTGCTTTTGGTTTGCCCTTACAGCTTTCAGGGGATACAGTATAACCTGCTCATCCCACTGGCTTTAAAATGTGGTATCTCTTCCTTGGTTCCATTTTTTTTTTTTTAAAAGAAGTTAACTTCAATTTACGATGATAGCGCAGCTAGCCAGAGGGCACGCTGACGCCCCGGGGAGGTATCGCTGAACACGCTGGCGCGGGGGGATGAGTTTACACACCTCGTAAATAAGGGGTCTGGAACTGGGACCAGGGAGAAATCTAAAAGTCCAGTTTCTGCTTCTAAGACTAGAAAATAGGCACGTGTTTGGGTAAAATGTAAATAACTGTAAAGCTCTGAGCGGTTGGGAGATGTTACTGGCGTACGCTGACGCTGTTATACTCGTGCTCTTTCTTTCTGCCCCGTAGGTGTGTTTGGTGGCCGTGGCCGAGGAATACCAGGCAGTGGAAGAGGCCAGCAGGAAAAAAAGCCAGGCAGACAATCAGCAAAGCAATGAGAGGCTGTCTGCACCCTGGCTGGGGACAGTGCTGCGATGCCGTTTGGTTTTTTATCACCTCAGGATTCCCATGTGTTCAAAAGCGTTACCTTTCTACTCTTCCGTCAGTTGATACGTGCCCGAATCGCGTAGTTTGGAAGCCCCTCGCAATTTAATCTGGTGAAGTGGAGTTATTCGCTCCTTGTAGTCAGCAAGTCATTGGAAATATTTTTTAAAATCATTCATGCTTAAGGACCTAAGTTCTGCCTTCTCCTGAGAGTGAAAGCACTATTTAATTTTTCAGGATCACCAGGTTTAATTTAAAAGATTAACCATGTACAGTGGTATAAGAACGAAGGCAAACACTTTCTGGATTGTTTGGATTTTTTTTTTAATATACTTGAAACTTGGGAAACTTGTTGCATTTGTAACAGATGCAAGTGTTTTGGTTTAAAAACACTGAACTTGAGGATATTGTATCTTTACATGAGTAGTCTTAAGGGTTTGGCGTTTTAAAAAAAACAACAAACTTTTAAGCTATCGCTTCTTTTTCTGGCCAGTCAGTTCTGTCTCTCTCCTAGGGCCTAAGGCAGAACTTGGGATGAATGCTGCATTGGCCTTCAAGGGTTGTTTCCAAGAGCTCTGTGAGAAATGAGGGTTTCCCACTTAATGTATTACTAATTTGACTTCAGATTAGAAGTTTCCTTTAAAGGAAAGGGGCTTCTGTGTTCTCTCATGGAAGGCTGGTGTGCCCCTTACTCTTCATGTTCTGAGTTTTCTTTTTTTTTTCTGAAAAGCAACCGAGCTGTTCAGTTGATTTATTTCCCCCCCAACTTTGAAAACTCTCTCCCTTGTGCCTGTGACACAAAGGCCTGAACTCGGACAATATTTCTCAAGCTTATTTCTTCTGATACCTAGTGATTGACTTTGCTATACGTACTTGTCATTCCCTTTTCTAGTCACCGATGAGCTTTCCCTGGGGACACAGAGCAGTGTGTGAGCGTGTCCCTCCTGTACGTTAAGAAAGCTGCTGTGAATTCCCAGGTCCGGTTGCTCTGGTCTTCCATCCCACGGGGCGCAGGGTCTCGTGAGTGAAACACACCCGCAAAATATCCTGGCCGATCTGAGTTGAGTGTCTGCATGGTAGGGAAGAAAGAGGCTCTGGCCGTGGCTTAACCCCCCCAAACGGATGAAATAGTTTAATTTTAGGGGAAAAGCGGATGTTGTGACTTGTTCTGAACAGGTTTTTTGGGTTTGTTTTGTTGGGTTTTTTTGGGTTGTTTGTTTTTTTTTACAACTGATTCCCACATTGAAGCCTACTCTGCCATCACCACTGTTTTGAGAAAATGAGTAAAGAACGTGCTTTTATATATACTTATTTTTTTAATGTTTATAGAACTTGTGCGCAGTGGTGAGTAGGAATAAATCGCCGACCTGTACAAAACGACTCCCTCTCTCTGACTGCAACGGCGCTGACCCTGACCCTGCGCGCGCTCCCGCAGCCGCCCGGCTTCGCCTAGACCCTCGCTCAAGCCCTGGTATAAGTAATAAATCGCCGAGCAGACGGGCTAAAGCTTTGGTTTCTAACAGCAGCCACATGTTCTCTGCGGCCGCCTCGGCAAGGCGTTAACCAGCAGCGCCAGCACTCGATTCCCATCCCGGGTGAGCCGGCTTCTGCCAAGGAGCCAATTCCAGGCGATGGGAGCGGGGTGCACGTGTCCTCCTCCTGGAAACTCGGTCTCAACATAAACCGTGTGGCATTTTAACAAAGCCCGGGCTGAGCCCTGTGTCAGACTTTCCCTTCCCAACCTGCTCCCTCCCTTTCGAGTCCCTCCGGCCACAGAAACTCCACGTGTTACGGCTGCCCTGGTGAAAAGGGAAGCGGCTGCAGCGCTGTCTGGATTTAAGGTCTGTTCTGGCCGGATAAATCTTCACCGCAACAATGGGACCTTTGGCTTCGGCTCAGGGTAGAGTCCTCCAAGTACGCCTTATCTCATGGCGAAGCTCTGGGGTCAGGCGTTGCAGCTCGTTAAGTTCTGCTTTCGTTTAATTACAAGCACGGGCTTTAGCAGCCTTCCCTGCTTGCCCCCCTCTTCCTCTTTTCCACCTCGGGAGGAATATTTTTGTCCCAGGCTGCGGTGCAGCCCCTTCCGAGAGCAATCGGCCCCACGCGGCAACAGGTTGGGCGGAAGATGGCTCCGTGAAAGAGCAGCATCGATGCGACGCTCATCTGTGGTTTTGGGCCTTTCTGCCCCAAAAATGGGTGTCTGGGGCTGTCGTGTGCTCCAACCCTGCCCCATGGGGGTGCGGGGAAGCGAGCCACGGCTGGAAAAAAA